ACGCTCCCTCTGCCTCGGACCCGCCCCCGGAGGCGACCCCGCGCCCGCTCCGGGAGGACACGCCCCCGTCCCCCGGTTGGTCCTTCTTCCCTTCCGTCTCTTTGACCAGCCTTCCTTTGCGGCCTAGTTCCTCCGCGCCTTCGCCCCGGCCGTGCAGTCGGTTTTAAAGCCACACTCTCCGGTGTGCTCTGAGCCCCGGCCCCTCCTCCCGGCGTCCAGCTGCCCGGGCCGGTGTGGTCACGGCCGAGCGGCAACCCGGAAGGTTCCGGCGGGGCTGCTCGCGGGAAGGTGTGTGACGCCTGTGGTGGGACAGCGCCCTGGGGCCGCGGGCAAGTGCGGCGGCGAAGGCTGCTCTTGGGGCCAGGCTGTCTCAAAGGAAGGTGGGCCCTCAGGACCCGGGCAGGCGGAGCGGCGCCTGTGCCCACGGCGGCCCTTGGTCTCCAGGCGATCTTGTCTGTCCGGGTCCAAGACCGCAGAGGTCACTCCCGCCCTAATCCCGAGTCCCCTTGTGTCTGCTCCGTTCACGCGGGCTCCACTGTGTGCAGCACTTCAGGGACAGAGCCACTCGGAGCGGAGCCTGCCGGGGACCATCAGCCTTCCTGGAGGCAGTCAAGGGGGAAAGAAGCCTGTGGCAGTGCACCTGGCCTACCGCCAGCCAGACAGTGAATGTCCTTGGGTCTGAGAACCAACCTGGAGGCGCAGGTCCATCAAAGCAATGCTAGCATCTCTGGGGGGAGGAGGGGGTGGGGCAGAGGACTTATGTATGGCAGCCTTCCCACCTCTCTGCCACCTACTGCTCAGGCCTTGTCCACATTCCTCCTGTGTCCTCAAAGATTGCAGGGCACAGCATTCAAGGAATGACAGCAATTAACACCAAAATGGTGGAAGATTCAATTCCCAGTAGGCTTTGAGGATTGAGATGGCAGGAGATTTGACTTCTAGTAGACCTTGAGCTTCACTATATGCTCATTGTAACATATTAGCATGATAAATAACATGCCCACAGGTGCCATGGCAGTCCCAAGACTAACCACAAAAGGTCAGAGTAGGCAGTGGACCAATCCCTGGGAATCCCAGCCCCTTCCCCAGGGCAGCTGGAGTGGTCCTCCCACTTGTTAGCATATGAAGTTTCGGAACACGTACAGACTGGCAACACCATGCCTCGTGGCCACCCATTTTTGCTCCCTAGTCTTCAGAGATGGCCAGCATTCTGTCTACGGAGCGTGTACCTACTTTTACTTTAACCTGAGCACCCAAACCCCACACCTCATGGCCTTTCTCTTGCCTTTTGAACCAGCCTACACTCTGTGCACTATGTACCTTTCCAAATAAATCTACCTTTACTCAACTGTGGCTGGTGCTTGAAGTCTTCCCTGCACGAAGCCAAGGACCCATAGTTGGCGGGGCTCGTCCCAGGGGCTCAGTGGAGACCTGGGACACGGCCCTCCTCACGCCCAACATCCATTTTTCATGCATCACCGTGGTCATAAACTTATTTTTTTTTTAATTTTTTGGTGGTGGAGGCAATTAGGTTTATTTGTCTATTTTTAATGGAGGTGCTGGGGATCGAACGCCAGGACCTCGTGTATGCTAGGCATGTGCTCTGACATTGAGCTATACCCTGCCCTGCAAAAGAGGATTTCTTTATAGAGAGGAGTAAACGCGGGTAGAAAGAACTGGATGTGGGAGATAGGTGAGGAGAGGGTGGCCTCCTAGGGTAGGAGGTCAGAGAGTGTTCTTCCCTGGGGTAGCCTGTGCTCAGGAGGGGCTGCCCGATGCTCTGAGGGAGGCCAGGCCAAAGGTCTAGGCATGGAGGAAAGAGAGAAGCTGATCATAAGTTTGTGTCCAAATAATCAGTGGGGACTGAAGTGGTGTTGTTACAGAACAAAAGCTCGTGTGCCCGCCGCACTGTGAGGCCAAAGTGAAATGTCAGTTTGGAGCAGAGAAAGGTTTACTGCAGGGCCAAGCACGGAGGACAGGTTGTTTGTGCTTGGGAAAAAAACCCAAATTTCCCAATGGCTTTGGGGGAGAAGTTTTTAAAGGCAAAATTTGGGGTGAGGGCAGCAGGGTGTGTGGTTTTCTTCTGATTGGCTGGTGCTCCAGGAATCTTGTGTTACGGAAATGACAGGCCAGCCAAGAAACAAGCACGACTCGGAGGGTTGGAGTACTCAGATGTATTACGCCGCAGAGGGGCTTCTGCTCCGAAGCTCTGAGCACCTCCAAGATGTGTGCATGGGGTTTTATAGGGTTAATTACAAGCTTGGGGCTATTAGCCAATAAGGCTCGAACAGCAAAATCAGGGAGTCAGCACACTGGGGCTTGTCTAGTAGGAACAGATCACGTTACTGACACTTGTTGAGCTTGGGTTTACGAGTTAGCTTGTTAGCCCAGTAAACTGACGCTAAACTTCAGGTTTACGAGTCAGCCCAGAACTTAGACCAGTAAACCGTCACTTATCACACTTAGATTTACGAGTTATCTTGTTAGCCCAGCCCGGCTTCTCCTTCTCGTTGTGCTCAGCGTGAAGTCACCGTCCTCCACCTCGGTGGAGCCTCAGTTCCTGCAGAAGACCTCAAAGATGTTGCTACGCGTGTCCCTGGAGGAGGAAGCAGGACCCCGTCCCAGGGCTGCACTGTTGTTTCATGATTGTCCCTCCCTTGTCTCTGCACCCCCTTCCTTCCCTGATTAGCAACTGTTTGAATCTGCCCTTGGGAGCTCAGGGAAGGTCAAGGAGGCTGAATGCGCCCTATTTCCTACAAGCAAGAAACAGGGAGCCCCACAGGATGCTGTCTGTTTCAAGGTGAAGAATGGGAATTTGGAGGGTCTGTGTCTGGCCTTGTCCGCGGTAAACTGGGGGAATCCAAAAGTCCTATCTGAGTCCTGAAGGAGCATAAAGCAAACTGACTAACTGACTTCTCTGATGCAAAACTGTTTGCTGATTCATCCTTCACTGAGGATAACTTTAACCCAGAGGCTATGCTCCAGGAAGGACATAACAGGCTATAATTTCAGAAGAACGGACAGACCCTCCGGAGTTCCTCCCGAAGATTCACGGAGGTCCTCTTAACCTGTAAGATGCCTTGATTGTGCCCCAACTGACGTCCTTCAAAGTCCAACGTCCCCCATTTCTGGGCTCTCAGGTGTCTGCCTGTGATCCCTCAACAGATAAACTATATTCTTTACTGGGTGTGTTTCCCCTAACAGACTGACAGCCCCAGGTAATGCCTAGCTTATCAGAGTCAAACCCTGCGGCCCTTCACGGACCCTAACCCTCTTACCTCACCTACAAGCAATCATAGGCTTGCGCACAAGCTGATCAGGCACCCTGTGACCTGACCTTATAAAAGACCCCGACTTCCGGCCCTCGGTGCTCACACAGGCACCTCTCGGCTGTGTGGCCACTGTTGTCTGTGACAGAGCACTCTAATAAACTCCTTTCTACACCCACACTTTATAGCTGGTAAATGCTTTTACCAACCTGCATATCAGTGGCTCACTGATCAGCCGCCCCGTTGTGTCCCTCAACGCTGATTGTTATCACCTTTTTGGTTCCATCCAGGCTTGCTATAAAACCTCAAGACCCCAAGCCCAGGGCAGGCTCAGTCTTTACGGCACAGCCTGCTCTGATTCTCCTTGCTGGGCAAGGCAATAGAGCTGCTCTTTGCTTCCAAAACCCTACATGCGAGTTTGAATTTGCTTTTTGGGGTTCAGAGGCCATGTTTTTGCTAACCGTCCTGGTGGTGAGCTGTTTTCAGAACTCAAAGGTTTGGGGGACTTTTTAGCTTTTGCTGTGGTTCAGGATCTCACGGCTCCGGGAAAATTCAGCACGGTCACCACCGGTTACTTCCCACCACATCACCTGCTTCAGTTTCAGCGAGGCTCTCTTCATCACCCGAGTTTCATGTTGCCTCTGTGCTCCTTGCTATCCCGCAGGGTGCACTGACTACGAAGCTCATGAGGATTTCAGACAGGAGGGAAGAGGGCAGGACACAGACGTAAAGGATGACAGAGCAATTTGCACCAAGATGGCAGACAAGTCAACTCCCAATAGACCTGGAGGCCTAGTATGGCGGGAGGTTTGGCCTCCAGTGGACCTTGAGCCCCAGTGTGCACACTGTGATGTCCTAGCCGGGTGAATGTGTGCGCACTAGCGCCATGACAGCTCCAAAGCTAACCATGAGAGGTCAAAGAGAGGGAGGCTGCTGGTGCCTCGGAGTCCCTGCCCCTTCCCCGAAGTAGTTGGAATAATCCTCTCACTTGTTAGCAT